CAGTTCAAGACAGTCTGGTTTCCAGATTGAAATTTGGTAAATAATTGTTTTTTTTTGGCTATATTACCAGCTACAGGTTTACTTCCTATAACTGGCTCGTTTACTGCAGCTTTTTGCAAAACAATTTGTTTTTAGTTCTAACTGTTACCGTACTTCATCTATTTAACCATAATGCTACTTTCTATGCTTCAGTTTACTGATTAGGATAGTTCCTCAACAGTAAAAACACTTGAGCATATAAAATGAATGCAACGTTTTATATAGACAAAACTGCTCGCAAATGATAACTAAGTGGTAGTTTTGATTGGAATCACGTTACGTATGCTTAAGCCCTGCAGATGTGACAAATTAACATTGATTAGATAATAGTTTCATAGAGATATAAATAAAGTTTTTCATCAAAGACTTTTTTGACACAAGTCAGCTACAAAAAAAATTTGTTTTGTTTATACTTCTTCTAAGATAAATAATGAAAGAATAAAGCAATGCGCAGGCTTTAAATACGATTAGTTTGTGCTGATTGGTTATTATAGTAACATTCCGATGACACTTCATAATCATTAAAGAACGGTGTGTAAATGAAGAGGAACATTCCAGAAATCTTTATATTAGAAAATATTTCTTTTCTAAATGCTAAAAACTTCGCAATATCTAATGGAAACAGTTTAATTGATTAAGAACACTTCTACACACGAACTGCAGAAATATAATTTAGACTGGCATATAATCCAACTTCTTACTCTCTGCTCTCTTCTCTTTTCAAGAGTGAGAAGAGAGAATTAGTAAGTATTACCTGCTATAATGTTCATTCCATTTCACGTTTATCTTATTCAAAGTTTAGTAGTACGATCATATCTGTGGGCTATTTCTTAAGGATGAGAAAATAAAAACTTGTGTAAATTATCATTTATCTGGTATTTTTTCGATGAATCCCGAAATCATTACTTTGATAAAAACCATGAATTTCTGTTAGGTATAACGATAGATCATTCAAAGCGGAACAGTAATTTAAAACGGTTGGTATGAAAGTTGTACTAATGGTCCAATATGTATATATATATATATATATATATATTAAACCGCTTGATGAAAAATGATACGGTTTGAGATTCCGTAAATTCAGTGAACATATGCGTAGTAATAATAGTTGACTTCGATCAAATCATACAGTAGTATTGAAATAGCACTGCAGGAATGTGAAAGTGTTTGTATTGCATTTCAATAGCATTCAAAGAAACATTGAAGTTTTGAAATTAAATTTTCAAGCAGTTAAAAAAATACATACGAATGAAATGAAATGTAAACGAAATGTAAACTGTTTGGGACACGCACAACTGATGGATAGCTTTGTTTCATTAGTGCAACATGCACATAGCCTTACAAGAATCTTAAAGGTTGATGCCTAGCAGAACGTATCATATGTAATCATTTATAATAAATAAGATGAAGTTCTTTTATCGGGTAAATCTTGTGATTATAGTTTTCTTATTTTATTTTTAAAATTGAGTAAGTCAGAGATGGGTAACTGAAAGGGAAGGAAATGTAATCTGTGAATCGTACTTGGCTTTCCAAATAATATTGAACGAACGGAAATCAGGCTGCATACAAATGGATGTTCAAGTAAATATTGGAAATGAAAATAAGGAACCCCAAAAATGCATATCCACCTAATTGATTAAAGACGAAATGGCCACAGACGGATTGTGCAAAGGCTTGACTATTCACTTAGTACCATACCGAAACAATGTTTTACTATCAATTATTGTTTAGACATGCTAAATAAACAGACAAGTTTATCGATGATTGAACTAAGTTATGAGGATATGGATGGATATACATATATCAACATGCATAAATTATGCGTTCTTGTCAATTTCAAAAAACTCCAATGATGATGATGATGCAATGAGAAATATAGTTGCTTGATGTAAGATAAAAAGCACTGAAATACTACACTATCCAACTGGCACTTTTTTCTGTCAACATATTTAGTTCATAGTTGAAAGTAAAACTGACACCTGAATACATCAACCGGTTGTGTACTTAGCAACTGTCTGACTTATTTGCTCCATAAAGAAGGTCATGACAAAGTAAGGATTGAAACGCGTTACAAATCTAATTGGCAAACTAAGCAAACGTTATTGAATAGAAATGCTTCTATATAAGGCAACTACTTTCAGTTCTCAATGCGTACGTATGTGAGCTTGTGTCACGGTGCGCTAATCAATAATTCAAGTAGATTCGAGTAGTTATTCTGCTCATCCATAGAACAAATGTGACATTATTTTGGCTAGTATTCAAGAGAGAGGGAGACAATACGTATTAATGCTCCTATTTGTAATATATGAAGGAGGTAGTGAGTATTGACACAAAGTAACAAACTGTAACAGACAAATTTGAAGACACAAATGTAATTTAAAAGAAAAAAAACGGTTTAAAATGCATCAGGCAGATAACAATAAATGAGATGAAACTTATCAAAAATAAACGCCTATTAATTAATCGTTCCCATAGAAAGTATCAAACATCAAATCAAAAGAGTTTTCAATGTATTTTACAGAATAAATCACACTCCTTTCCAATTGGAAAAGTATTACTGTATGATCTAAAGTTTTTCAGATACTATGTAGTAGAAGGAATCACCAACAAAGAATAACGAGGGAATAACAAACCATAGTGCCAATAAACTGACTTAAACTCACAGTTCCAATGCCAGCTAAGATGGCTGTGTTTTTTTGCTCTTATAAATTTCAAAAAACAACAACAGACCATTTAAAAGCCTGAAGATCTCAATTTTTATCGCAATATTCCTTACATAAATAAATGCTTAATAAAACTAGTCGGAAAAAAGGCATTGCAATTAAGCATACATGACCATCAAAAATGACCAGCAAGCCCAAGCTTTAATCTCTGCCTGACATGGAAAAGGTCAATGGGGACCGTGAAAGAAATACTGAACCGCAATACTGTTCATTTACGGCACTCATTTATTATTCCTGGCGGATGCTTTTGATATATCATTTGAAACGACAAGTTGCTATACAGAAATCATTCGCTGAAAGCATATATGCAATAAATTGAGTGGATATTTCTGGATATTTCTCAAAAGTTTTATTCGTCCTTGAGATCTATCTACTGGATTTGTATAAATTAAAGCAAAAAGTGTGGTTAACTGAAAACACTAATTTCAAAAATACATCTTCTACCTATAAAACATGACTCGAAAGTTGCAAAAACTACACCAAAATCAAAAAATTAAAATTAATCGGGTTGATTCATTTGCTAATATCAAAAAATGAAACCAATATAGATCAGATAAAGGCACATCGAGCAATGCAAGTGATAAACTTGATAAAGCAAATGTGTTTCCAATGGGACAGGATTTTACTGGCCGCTAAACAGTAATTAAACAAAGATAAAGTTAAATGCAATAAATATTTTTGAAAAAAAATGACGGGAAAAATCGAATTTAACAACTAATGAATCAACTTGAATCGGAACAGAAAATATAATTTATAAAGTTTAAAACACAGAAATGTAAAAGAATCAACCATGAAAAATACCAGAATAGCAGAATCTCTTCAGTGCTATTATTAACAAAAGTAGGTACCGAAGCAGATCTGCAAAATTCACTTTTTTACAGCAAACAACAATAAAAAGTGGCTGTTTCAGGGAAATTTCCATTGTAGAAGTTCAGAAAACTTCATTTCTGTCTGTTTAAGGGTCATACGCCGTGTGAAAGCATATCGACATATATCGTAAACGCTTTTAATAAATTCATTAAGTATCCAAGCAATTCGTAATCACTTACATCTCGTTTCCACATCATACTTTATGCAACTGAAATCTCAAACCTGTTCTTTCAAATCCTGTTTCGGATTTCAACTAAATCAGGCTAAGACACCTCAACTAAAACTAAATGTAGACACACATACAACCACACCACCATAGCAAAAACATCAAAATTGTCCTTCCTTTCAAAACTGTCCGGATACCACCATCTCTCGGTTCATTCAACGATTCGATATATTATTTAAAATTTCAATATAATATTAATATAGACATATTTGGAGACACTACTTTACTTCTAAGTGTTTAGCGTCAAAATGATACGATGTACATTTTGGTCTCCTAAGTGACTTTAATGGTAAAATCTAAATCTTTTATTTGAATGCATTCAAACCAAAGATCTGGAATGTTGAGAACTTAAGAGAAAAAATTTTAAAAATGTTCGACCTTAAATGCTTGTGAAACTTAGAAATAGAGATGGAAATTCGAATTTCACATCGATTTCATTGGCCTTATTGACATCCTATTCAATATGAAGGTCTCTGGTGAGATCATCCGGCCGGGAAAAGAGAAGGCCAGGAATGGAATGTTTCTCAAAAGAACCATCTACAGAACAGGATGTCAATTTTTTCTTCTCTTATACATCACAATATATTTAACAATTTCACATAAAACTTCAACAGTTTTTAGCAAAAAAAGCATTTAATAATTCCACAGGAACAATTCCAATTTCTGGTCCTCTCCTGAAATTCTACTCCAAGAAGTGGTTTAAAAAAATTCCGTAAACTGTAAGGAAAATTAAAAATATCCTGAACCTATTCAATAATCACAACTTTAGCAGAAGGGTAGATTGGTCAAACCAAGAACCAACTTGGATTCTCACGGCCTTACAGCCATCAAATCACAGACCGACATCGCTAAACCTAATTGTTGCTTCATTTTTAATAAAATTTGCGATTGGTCAAATGAATGGTCATAGTCAACACAAATTTTCCATTTAATTTCCCCTCATTTTTCTTTGTTTTCCCTATTTTCTGCTCCAAAGATCCCAAGAAATATAAGGAAAATTAGGCATGAAGTAAAGTATACATTCAATATTCAGTTTGCAAACTTTTAAGTCTTGTGAATCAGACCAATTTAAATGACCACTGAACTTTTAAGTAATAAGCTAGAAATGTTTGACCTAAGGTGAGACGAATGATTACTCGCACCTTCCAAAAGTCATCTTCAGCTTTAATCTACAAATAACTGTATCTTTCCAATTCAGAAATTTGAAATGCCCCGTCAAGTGAACGCGGAAAAAGCCAAGTATTACATCCCAGTTCACAGGAACTCCGTGCGACAATACAACATCACACTGTCCAAGACAACCCGTCTCTTGGCATAGAGCCAACACTGGGTCATAGGCGGGCATTCAAATGTTATTGTTACGAGAAATCGAGGATTTAAACATCGCCTACTGTTTGTTGTAATTGAGTGCGACAAATATTACTATCAAGAAAGGCATAAAGACCTCTTACAGTCATGACAGTAAAGATTATATGGCATGTGTCAACTTGCACGCGCAATAGACAGTAAACAAGTAATCACTCAGTTCAAAACATTTGCAGAGTAAAAATGGGCACTGATAATATAAGTCATTAAATCACTGAACTTTGACAGGGAATTTATAGGAAGAATGGATATAGAGCATTGCTAGAAACGAGGTCACCAGATGGATTGCAAAATGCCAGTGCATTGGATATGAGCATCCTGAGAGAACCAGTGGTCAGTTGTAATTCGTAATCAGTGGAGTGGATACTGCTGCATGCATAACGGTGCATTACAACTTACCAAAAGCCGCCATTCATCCATTCTGTTGCATTATTAACAGACTAACGTCCTGTCTGTTTTTTTGTATTTCAATCGTCTTAATTGATTCATTTCGAAAAATTTCCAACTCTTTCGAATTCATTTCGCTGTTCTTGAAAAGGGACTGGTTGAATGTCTCTCGGATTCCTCAAAAATTGCTGCTGAAATTTACATGCTCTTCTCGGACATTTATCCAATCTCCAGATATGATCAGTAAATGACTTGATGGAATTGATCTGTCCTTTTTAATAGAGAGGAGCAAAACATTGAATTTGAATAATTTTAGATTCCTTTATATATACATATATATATATATATATATATATATATATATATATATATATATATATATATATATATATATATATATATATATATATATATATATTATTACTTACTTACTTACTTAC